AAGGTGGAGGGTCAGAGAAAAAGAGGAAGACCCCCAACGAGATGGATCAGCCAGGTGGCATCATTGATGGCGTCAAGTGTGGCAGCGGTGGTGGGGTTGGCCCAGGATCGGACATTGTTTCGTTCTGCTGTGCATGGGGTCGCTATGAGTCGGTTCCGACTTGATGGCATCTGACAACAACAACAAAAAGAGAATCCAGAGGAAAAAGCAAGCAAAGGATAGAATCCTGGAGTGAACTAGCAAAAAAAAGTTGCCATGGAGTCGATTTTGACTCTTGATGACCCTACATATGTCAGAATAGAACTGTGCTCCATAGACAAGAAAAGTATAGTTTACTTCTGTTTTCCCACCTATAAAACTAGAATGATGGCTGTCTCTTTTTATATATGCTATGACTGTTAGAATTACAGGAGTTCAATAAGCATTCATTGAGTCAGAACCAACTCCACAGCACTTAACAACAGCAAACAACAGTAAATGTTAGTTGGTGCTACTTTAACAAGTGGTCAATTAAAATAATTTGTGTTGTAGACTTTTCTTTCTGATTTTTTCAGGAATTATCTCCAACTTCAGATACAAACTTAGTTCGATCCTTAATGAATCTAATAGACTGTTTTATGGATGATTTTGCGGATGAAGCCAAAGTAAGAGACAGAAATGATCGAGAAACTTACTCTTTACTTGAGGTAAGACCCATTGCCCTTTGTGTCAGACAGATAGTCACTTTATGTTTTTCCCAAAGTTTCCTAACTAATGAACCTGGACTTGAAGGCTGGGCAGTGGGTTGTAACGGAACAGTGAGGAAAACTATATCCAACAAACCAGGTGCTGGTGGGGAAGCTCTTATCTAGCTGTTCCATTGTATCATGAGGTTTACATGAAGCCCCGTGATCACCTCAGGTGTTCTGCTGAATCTTGATCATTGGACCAGTCTCAGCAGTGATTGACCCCTAAAATGTCAGTGACCAATTATTGACAAGATTCCTTTCCCCTCCAGTCTCCAAATCATAATATCTTTTCTTCCCTTCTTCATGAGATATAAATTAATTTTTATATATGCTATATTAGTGGTTACGAATCGGGCTGCGAACCTTAAGGTCAGCGGTTCGAAACTACCAGCTGCTCCGCAGGAGAAAGATCAGGCTTTCTACTCCCGTAAAGATTTACACCCTTGGAAACCCTGTACAGGGTCGCTATGGGTCGGACACGACTCAACGGCACTTAACAACAACAACAACAATATTATTAATAAGGAGCTCTGCTAGCGTAGTGGTTACGAATCGGGCTATGAACCGCAAGGTCAGCAGTTTGAAACTACTAGCTGTTTAGCGGGAGAAAGATGAGACTTTCTGCTCCCGTAAAGATTTATAGCCTCAGAAACCCTGTACAGGGTTGCTATGAGTCAGTACCGACTCCATGGCACACAACAACAACAACAACAATATTATTACTAAGGGAGTCCTGGTGTGGCACTGTGGGTTAATGCGCCAGACTGCAAAGTCGTTTGAACTACAAAGTAGGTGGTTCAAGCTTACCAGCTGCTCCTTAGAAACCCTATACAGGGTTGCTATGGGTCAGAATCGACTTAATGGCACTTCATAACAATATGTTATTATTAAGGAACTCTGGTAGTGTAGTTGTTATGAATCGGACTGCGAACCTCAAGGTCAGCAGTTCGAAACTACCAGCTGTTCTGCAGGAGAAAGATGAGGCTTTCTGCTCCCATAAAAATTTACAGCCTCAGAAACCCTGTACAGGGTTGCTATCAGTCGGTACCAACTGGCATATAATCACCACCACCATATTATTAATATTATGTATTTGTATTAATTGTGTAGTTATGTAATAAGTATCGCTGGTGGCACTATGGTTAAGGACTCAGCTGGTGGTGTTTGAACCCACCAGCAACTCTGTGGAGGAACAGACCTGGTAATCTGCTCCCATAAGGATTGTTGTTGTTGTTAAGTACCATCGAGTCAGTTCCAACCCAGAGCGACCTTGTGTAGGGTTTCTGAGGAACAGTCGGTAAGCTTGAAACTGCTGACCTGGAGATTCAAACCGACTTTGCAGCACAGT